GTGAGTAACCACATTACAAATACGACTCGATACGGGATAAGTGTGATGCTTCAACTTAATTTTCAGTGGATCATTTTATGAAAAAGACTTGTTTTAACACGGGATCACGAAATGGAGAAACATTAACTTGGACTGAACACAGCATTTGAGAGTGCTCAATGGGAGGCACACCGATGTCGAATGGTTTAGACTGATAACTAACCAGAACCACAACACCTACTCAACTATATCGTGTTAGCGCATCATTCAATAGATAGTAGTGGTTACAGACTAACGTATCCAAGCGCAAGCGATGTCAAATATTTCGCTAAACAAATCGGACACATTTCCAGACCGTCACGCTAAGACCAGATGCCAGGTAAAAAGCCTGACCACTAATTGCTAGAAGTTGACGTTGAACAAGCCGAAGATTTGCATTTAGGGCGAAAGGCATGTCAAGATCAACTGAATCGATTTTAGTGTGACGTGCCCGGAATAAATTCGATAAAATATACGAAAAAAAGTGATAGCATCGATTCAGCGAGAAAACATGATAAAGCGGTGGCTGTGCAAAGGTATGCACAGCTTCGTAGATCGCAAATAATTTCCTGTGAACAATACAATTGTACTGTGTACAATTTTATCAAAGCAAAATAAGAGGAGTTGCAGTTAATGCACGATCACATTTTAGCGAAAGTGATGTTCAAATAGGCAATAGGCATGGCATCAGCGCACGCGAGTACGCACGGCACACATGCATGCAGTGCGGGGGAGACGACACGGATGCTCACACACACAACAACAGCCTGAGACATGTTCATTGTTCAGTACATACCACTCTGAGCCGGCTGATATAAGCCCTCTGCCAACAACCGCGTCTATTGTCATAAAACAGTTTTAGCTTCTATAAGGCCAGTCTTGCAACAACTGACTTCACATGAAAATTGTCTGCATGAAAAAGCCAAGGACCGCGATAATTTTGAGAATTGCACACCAAAAACCCATATTTTATTGACCACGTAAATGAAAAAGTTTCGCGACATTCGAGTAGGTAATCGCACATAACTACAACGTACCTACTAAGAGCATCCATATCAAATGCCTTCAACCGCACAGGCATCCGGAAACGTTGTGCGGGCCAGCGGCCATCACATTTAACTGAACACCCAACTCCTAACTCGCCTGGCTCGACCGGTAAGAGATTCCCAGCCCTTATCACGTCACTCACCCGGTTTCCAGTCATCCAGACTCGTCTCAAAGTCAGTGGCGAAGCGTAGACAGAACCCAGTGAACCTTCCGCTGCAGATGAGCGAGTCACAGGTCATCGCCGAGACGGCCGTCTCTTCGAGCGTGAGCACCAGGGCGTCACGAGAGTCGGCGTCAGTCACCATTTGGCCGCCGCCCATCTGTATGAGTCAAGGAGAAGAAGGTAAGTGACAGCTTTTGGAACATGAAAAGGGTGTTGGCAGAAGTTCAGGGTGAGAAGGGTGTAAGGTTGATGACAGTTCGCAAGCCATGTAACTGGTGATCAATCTAGGCAGGCGAGCTAGCTGGTGAAGAAACATATTTATCTCGGAACGCTTCAATTTGCAGCTCTGTTTGAAGACAGTTATGTTAAACGATGTTGTCTCCCCACTAACCATGGAGTGTGTATTGATGGGCAGACAGATGCCGAGGTCGTCCACAGTGACCTGCAGGAACAGCGTCGACCTCAAGGTGTTGACGTTGATATGGCTGATGTGCGGCACCTTGTCCAGAACCTGGCGGTGGGGAGAAGGGCGAACGTCAGGAAGTCATAATATCGTCAGCAAGTCCACATTAGCTTGCGTGAAATTCTGAACGCCCGTTTCTCTTCACCCTTGTACGATCACAACTGCAGCAGTGATAGGCCGGCTTAGGCTAGATTTAAAAGTATGCGTGCGTATCGTAGTTCCAATCAACATGTCATTCAGATTCTAACCACCTAAAATGACATTAAGTGGTGCCCAAAACCATATGACAGGCTAGATTAATCCGCGACAGCTCTTCCAGTCATCACTAGCTTCACCCACACTAACCTGTTGAGTCGCGGTGAGCACCTCCCGGTTCAGCGTCCGTCTCTGCTCGCTCCAGTAATCGTACGCGTTTCTGTAGTTGAGCCACACCAGAATGGCCTTATCGACAGCCATCGGCTGTACGTAGACGAGCGGCCGGCGCAGGGCGATTAGTACCACCTCCTTGTCGGCCTGGGTGACCGGCGCCGGACCGTCCGCGTGGAACGAGTTACTCAGACCTGCCGGCACGCGAAATGGGTGTGCAGTCAAGAGTGAGAGTGAGAGTGAGAAAGAGAGAGAGAGAGAGAGAGAGAGAGAGAGAGAGAGAGAGAGAGAGAGAGAGAGAGAGAGAGAGAGAGAGAGAGAAAGAGAGAGAGAGAGAGAGAGAGAGAGAGAGAGAGAGAGAGAGAGAGAGAGAGAGAGAGAGAGAGAGAGAGAGAGAGAGAGAGAGAGAGAGAGAGAGAGAGAGAGAGAGAGAAGGAGTGAGTGAGGGAGAAAGAGAGAGTGAGGGAGAAAGAGATACAGAGATTGCTCGTCGCTGCTTTGCATTCCGTGCTGTTTCCGCATGGAACAGCAGCAAGTCGGTATCGCGCGACTCGGCGAGCTCGCGGACTTGTACTCGGCGGACGCAGTGATCGCACCACCAGCCAGCCGATATCTGATGTCTCTCATTTTATTTGTACCTATTTCTACTTTTTATTTTTTATACCTACCTTTAATTATTATGAATGTGAAATTGTGCATGAATGTGAGTACCATTGTAAAATGTGACGCGTAACCGGAAGAGCCACCACGTGGAGTGTTATAAGAATACATGATTGATTGATTGATAGATAGGGGAGAGAGGGGGAGAGGCCGGGGAATACTGCAAGGGAATGCAATCATTGCAGTCATCATCATCAACAGCATCATAATCAGACATCATCAACGCTGTGCGGCTTCAACAACGAAATAGTTAAGCAAGCAATGCTGTGAGAATAAACACCATAGGGGTAAAATAAAGACTTCCTCTGTTTTTACCCACAGCAACCAGCGCTTTGACTCACCGATTTGCGTTTTGAAGTAGGCGTACTGGTGAAACTCGGGGTCGGCCTCCTCGAACACCACGTTCCGGATGAGCTGTCCGAGACTGACGTTCAGCCTCAGCTCTGCACGGCCGTACAGACGTGAGAGCGGCACGGCGCGGGCCTGCTCCGTGCCCAGACGCTGGTACCTGGACGGAGACATGGGGAAACGGTCAACAGCAGGGCTGCGGAGTCGATGGATTTTCGGCGACTCCGACTCCGACTCCGACTTCGGCTTTCAAAAACCAGCTCCGACTCCGACTCCGACTCCGGGCAGAATTGTCGACTCCGACCGACTCCAACTCCCGACTCCGACTCCGCAGACCTAGCAGGGCTGCGGAGTCGACAGATTTTCGGTGACTCCGACTCCGACTCCGGCTCGGGTTTCTAAAATCGACTCCGACTCCGGTCACAACTGTCGACTCCGACCGACTCCGACTCCGACTCCGACTCCGCAGCCCTGGTCAACAGGTCATACAACCTATACAGAGGGAGATCGCCCCAGTGGAACTGGCGAATAGGCACTTGAACATTATGTCTAGCATGAGCAAATACTTTGGACCGATGTAAACATCAGAGAGGTCACAACTGTTACTAGCAAAATGTATGAGAGGGTTGAACATTTAACTGCAACCGATAACACATCGTATATATAAAAGCTGATCTTGTATTTCGGAGCGGTAAAAGAAACTACAAACACATATAGACAAGTTTCTGGTTCACATCACCCTGACTGCTAAGCAACAAGACTATGCTTCCGTTTGCTCACTCCAAACTGTCTACCCTTTCTTTACCCTGATTCATCCCAAGTCTTATACTGACTGGCACTGCTGTCCCACCATACCCCATATTCACCCTCTCTCCCTCCTCCAACCGACCTGTTGCTGAGTCTCAGCTCGGTGAGTCCCGTCTCCAGTCTGACGGCGTAGTTTGTGGGCGTGGTGGCCGTGATCTGTATGCCGCGGAACGTCAGCCGCAGGCTGTAGAGCACTGGCCGCTTGGAGGGCGGCGGCGGCGGCCGCTCCTCGGGCGCGTCATCCTCCCCCAGCAGCTGCGACTTGAACTTGTCCAGGCCGGCCATCTTCTGAACCACGTCGTTCACCTCCTGTGGAAGGAGAACATGGGAAAGAGGGTTGTGAGGAAAGATGCGAGAAGGCGGAGTCCAGTGGAGGAGAGTGATATATGGCAATGAGGAGAGGCGGTGGGCATACAGCATACACATGATTCGTGACGCAATTTTTTCAATATAGGAGGTAAGTGAATCAAAAATGTTATTCTCTGTCAAAACTTTAGCTCGTCATTCAGCCAGCACCCACCCTATAAAATACCATGTGGCGTACGCAGCTACTCACCATCATGAACACCTTCTGTACGAAGACGAGATGGTTGAGCAGGTCGGTCGAGAGCGTGTGTTCGAGGGCGCCGATCTCTGCCTCGGTGCTGAAGTAGCTGCCCTGACAGACCTCGACACCGTCCGGTACCGGGCCCGGTTCCACCTCCTCCTGCATGTAGTCGGCCGATATGTGCACCTGGGGGACGGGAGAAGGGTGTCAGGAAGGGCGTAAGCAAAGGCTGACAATTGACGAAGGATGTGAGTCCATGTAGTCCGCCGTTACGTGCGCCTGGGAGAGGGACAGAGTCAGAATATGGTGGAGGCTATCCCTGTCTCCTGCCGTGGGCCGCTGAGGTCATTCATGCTCTGCAATCTGCATTGCTGCATGCATGATTGTTCCCGCCGTTACGGGTTGTTTAGGTTTTGTTATGCAAGAGCCTGAGTGAGGGCTGCTTTGTCTAAACGACTGCATTTGCTATTTTCAGGTGACCGCCCCAGACGATTTGTCATGATATGTGACGCATGTTGAACGGCATCAGAGCTGTCCTGATCGGGGCGCAGTGAAGTACGGTTTGCTGAACAGTAATTGCCACTTGGACCGATACTGAAGCCGAAATATTATTGCCGGCTATACTGACGGTGCAGTTGGCTGTATCACCTTACTGAGTCACTGACATTTGTACTAAAGTCGCCTATCGTCCCGGACGAAGTGAGTAGCCATACCCTGACACAAATCGTGTAATGCTTATTCGCTCTGTCATAAATGCATATTCGTTTGTCACAGTGCCAGCTGGCTACTGTGTGAGTTCGCTCCGTCTCTCGTACTCGTCCGCGCTCCGTCTGCACAAACGCACTCGCTCGTGTCTAGCCGCGTACTGTTTATTGGCGCAGTGACCGGTCAGATGCTCGCTACCGGCCTGCCACCTAGCGGACACACGCAGAGCTATTAGTTAACACTCTCACACCCCCACACCAGTTTCAATCTAAATATATGAATAAACATTGAGACAATCAAATCACCAGAGCGGTGAACAACGAAAAAATAAATACAGAAAATAAAAGACGATTAGTCCAAAATAGACGGAACTCAATGGACAGTTCAAAGCGGCACAGAAAGTGCCTAACACCAGAACACCGCAATGATAGAACCAAACACCTCACTCCCTGGGTAATAACTCAAGTTGCTGAGAACATTCACCTTACACAGTCATGAAATATTCGCAAACTAACGACAGAGTCGGGGAATATTTCACATTTCCTCGATGAGTCTGCGCGTCTGTTTCTTTATTCTCGTCGATCGCCTCAGTGGCTGCTGCTGCTGCTGTTGCCGCCGCTCAGTCTGTGCAGGTTTCAGACTCGTCTGCTGCTGCTGCTGCTGCTGCTGCCGTCGTAGCTGCTGCGCAGCCTGTGCAGGTTTCAGTCTCGTCTGCTCCTCTTCCACCGCCGGGGAGCTGACTGCGTGCGGTTCCGAGTAAGCGTATCGCTGGCGAAGGAACCTGCGGTTCCTGGTGAGGACACGTCCGCTGGGGAGCCGGATGAAGTACCTCCGCCTCCTGCCGTCAACTTCAGTAATCACTCCGGAGCGGTCCCAGCGTTTGTTGACGTGGTTCTGCACCATCACCTGGCTGCCGACGCGCAGGACAGGCAGATTTCTGGCGTGCTGATTGTAGCGCCGCTCTGAGTCGTCCTTCAGATCGGCGGCAGCTGTGTCAGCTTCATCAGCCGATCTTTGCCAGCGAGGATCGAAGACACGTCGGTGAGCCGGCAGAGTGTCTCGGACTGGTCGGCCGAACACTATCTGAGCCGGACTCCTGCCGCCCGGTCCCGGTGTGTTTCTCTGCTGCAGTACGCCGCGGGTCCACGCGTCGATGTCCAATCCACCAGGCGACTTCCAACACCTGCGAATCAGCTTGCTTGCGGCCTTGACCCCAGCTTCTGCTCGTCCATTTGACTGAGGGTAATGCGGCGATGAGATGACGTGCTCCACTTTCCACTGCTCCATGAACTGCTTGAAGGCCCTAGACGTATACTGTGGGCCACCGTCACTGAAGATTGTCTCGGGTGCTCCCACCGTGCAGAATATACTTTTTAGCTCTGCGATCACCCGAGCTGATTTCATCGTTCTTCCCAGGTGCCGTGAGAACTGCCACCCCGAGAACGGATCCACCGCCACCATGAAGTACTGACCCGCGTGCTGGAAGAGGTCTGTACATAGGTGCTGGAACGGACGTGAAGGAGGACTCCTCCTGAGGTAGGGTTCCTTGGGGAGTGACGGCAGCTCCGCTTGACATGCCGCACATCTTCTCGTAATATTTTCTATATCATTATCTAGGCCGGGCCAGTACACGGCCTGGCGCGCTCGACTTTTCGTTTTTTCTTTCCCCATGTGTGATGCGTGTAACTCAGTGAGAACTGCTGCTCGCATCGGTCTTGGTATGACTAGCCGACATCCACACAGAACAACACCGTCTTCCACCGTCAGCCGATCGTGCACTGCCCAGTACGGTCGGATGACTTCCGGGAGGTCCGTCTTACTCGCCGGAAAGCCAGTGAGGACCGTCTGGATCAGCTGCCTGGCCTCTTCATCGTGGTCGGCCGCGCGCCGCACGTCATCCAGACGAATGTCTGACTGTGCTTCTTCCAGAGCGCTGCATACCACTGCGTTGATGCTGGCTACCGTGTCGTCTTCAGCCAGCTCGTCTTCAGCCGTCGGAGAGTCGACAGGTGATCTCGACAGGGCGTCAGCTGCCTGGTGCTCCTTCCCCTTCGTCCAGCTTGCCGTGAAGTTGTACATGCTGATACGCCCTCGAAGGCGTTGTAGTCTCGAATTTTCAATCTCGTCCATGTTCTTGGAGTTCAATATGCTGATCAATGGACGGTGGTCAACCAGGATGTCGAAGTGCTGCATTCCACTCAGAAAGAGTCGACACTTGCGGCTGACTGCCCACGCCACTGCCAAGAGCTCCAGCTCAATTGTGGCATATCGCGTTTCAGCATCCGTCAGTGACCGTGACCCAGCCTGGATCACGCGCCACTCTCCGTTCTGCTGCTTCTGTTGAAGGATGAAACCCAGTCCATGAAGTCTGCTGGCATCAGTAGATAGCAGCGTCGGCCTGGTGAGATCGAAGTATCCCAGGCTCCTTGTCGATGATAGCGCCAGTCGAGCTGCTTCGAACGCTGACTGGTGGCAGTTGTCCCAACAGAAGCTTCGCTTGGTGCTCAGTAGGTGGCGCAGTGGCTCCAGATGATGCGTCACTTCTTCCGAGAAGGGCGCGACTTGATTAACGAGTCCGAAGAAACTCCTCAGGTCCGTCACGTTCTGTGGCTCAGGGAAGGCGGCGATGGCTCGTAGCAGCTCTGGGTCCGGCCTGTAACCACCATGTGTCACCAAGAAGCCTGCGAAGCGCACCTCCGGTAGCATGTGCTGCGCTTTCTTCACGTTCAGCGTCACACCGCGCGCGCGACACCTCTCCAGGAAGAGCCGGACACGGTCCTCCAGCTCTTCTTTGGTGGCACCACAGATTAAAACGTCGTCGACGATGCGCTGAATGCCTGGGATGTCTCTGAAGCACTCGTCCATCCTCCGGTTGAAGAATTCGGAGATCGAGCTGATTCCGAATGGAGCCCTCGTCCACATGAAACGCCCGAAGGGCGTTATAAATGTGGTCAGTGGCTGGCTCTCTTCTTCCAGCGGACACTGGTGATACCCCTTGGAGGCGTCGAAGACGCTGAACCATCTCGCAGAGTCGACGATCGACGCCACACACTCTGCCGGGGTGTTAGACTGGTACAGTTCTCTGCGCACAGATTTGTTGAGCTTCGTGAAATCGACGCACATGCGGATGCCTCCGTCCTTTTTGGGAGCCACGACAATTGGTGCACAAAACTCTGTCGGTGTCGTCACTGGTATAATCATACCATCCTTCTCCAGTTTATCCAGTTCCTTCTTCAGGGGCTCCCTGAGAGCGAACGGAATGCGCCGAGGAGCATGAACAGCGTACGGTTGAGCGTCTTCCTTCAGAACAATCTTGTATTTCTCTCCTGGGATGATGTTGATCTTCTCGCTGAATACGTCGTTGTACTCGCGGAGCAATGCCGCCCACTGCTCCGTCGGTGCGCTGGTCGGCGCCGCCCGCTGCTCAGCTGGCCCTGGTGCTCCGGACCGCGCCGCCCGCTGCTCCGCTGGCCCTGGGGCGCCGGTCCGCGCTGCCCGCTGCTCCGCTGGCGCGCCGAGCGCCGCCGTCTGCCGCTCGGATAGCAGGCCGAGCGCCGCCGTCTGCCTCTCCACCGGCGAGCCGAGCGCCGCCGTCTGCCGCTCCACCGGCGGGCCGAGCGCCGCCGTCTGCCGCTCCACCGGCGGGCCGAACGCCGCCGTCTGCCGCTCCACCGGCGGGCCGAACGCCACCGTCTGCCGCTCGGATAGCGGGCCGAGCGCCGCCGTCTGCCGCTCCACCGGCGGGCCGAGCGCCGCCGTCTGCCGCTCGGCTGGCCGTGTGATTGTCCGCCGCGCCGATACCGCTGCCGTGATGTCCTGAGGAATGTTCCACTTCTGTTCGGGGTAGTCCTCTGGAATGATGCCGAGGCGCTGCGTCGTCTTCCACGACAGGATCAGACGCTTGACTCCAGGAATGATGTGGACCTGCTCGTTGACTTCGATGTCTCCCATCCTGATTGTGACCTCCACCTTGCCTATGGAGTCACAGGATCGCCCGTCGACCACCATCGGACGCACTGTTGAAGGTGTCATGCGACCACGGCCGAACATCTCTGCAAACTCAGGGCCGGCCAGGCTGATGTCGGCTCCAGTGTCTGGAAGAGCTCGCAACTTCCCGCGCCTGGTACCGAACACGTCCACTGCAACCGTCGGCGCCGATCTGTGCTGAACACCGTTCACCGTCACCATATTCAGCTGAGTACAGTCGTCTTCATAGGCGCTCTCACCGACGGATACCGCATTGGCCCTTCTCGGCCCCAGTCTCCTGTCGCACATACGGCCCCAATGGCCGTATTCACCGCAGCGAAAACACTCGCTGTCAATGGCGGGGCAGCTGTTCTCTCCCCGGCATCGCCCGCGGCCGCAGCGGCGACAGGCCTCGCCCGGGCGATCACGTGACTGCCGGTCGGCAGCGGGCCGGGCCGCACGGGGAGGGGCGGGCTGTGCCCGACGCCGGTCCACCGGCCCAGTCCAAACGCGGTCAGTGACGTCACGGTCCGGCCGCCGACCTCGACCGACCGTGCCCGCGGGCGGCACCACCGACCAGCCACGCCGCGCAGCCGCCACGCCCGGGCCAACGCTGCCGTCCGCGATCTGAAGGGCGTCGCGCGCCGCACACTCCTCTGACCGACAAATGTTTATCGCCTCGTCCAGAGTCAGACTTTGGATGGCACACAAACGCCTGATGACATCCGCATCACGGATACCCACTACAATTCGATCGCGAATAAGGCTGTCTCTGCACCGATCACAATATCCACAGTCCCTGCTCAAGTCTCTGAGACACGTCACATAGTCGTCGAATGTCTCGCCGTCCTGTTGGATTCTCAGGTTGAATGCTCGCCTTTGCATCACCTGGCTGACTTGTCCTATAGCGTGTCGCTCCAGATTCTCGATGATTTTGCTGACGTTCTCGCCGTCTGACCTTGACAGCCCCATATTCTCGACGATATGGACGGTGTCGTCCGAGAGGCAGGATCGCAGCATCGCCAACTGCACCGCCTTGGGCTGTGCGGTCAGGCCAGAAAGTGTGACGAAGTCGGTCCATCGCGTTTTCCACGTCTTGAAGGCGGCTCCTCTGTCCACAGAGAGGTCGAGTTTATCAGGTTGTGTTAATCGACTTAACCACTGCGCTGGTAAGGCAACCACAGCGCCGTGCTCACTCTCATCGTCACTAGCGGCCGGGCCCCCGCCGGGGTTCTCGTCAGGCTGCGCCATGTGTGAGTTCGCTCCGTCTCTCGTACTCGTCCGCGCTCCGTCTGCACAAACGCACTCGCTCGTGTCTAGCCGCGTACTGTTTATTGGCGCAGTGACCGGTCAGATGCTCGCTACCGGCCTGCCACCTAGCGGACACACGCAGAGCTATTAGTTAACACTCTCACAGCTACCTATCTGAAATTGTCTCTTGCGGACTGATTAAGAAATAATTTTCGTTGTTAAATTGTCAGTTTATTGGGTATGTGCAGTTCACGTGTTGTTGTGGCTGTTCCCTCCAGTGACCTTGGGCGAATCGTAAGCTACATTGAGTTAATTGTTTTTTGTATGTGTTTTCACAGTTTTCTACGGTCATCACGGTCCACACTGATCGCTGCAAGGTGTCACTACTGAATGATCCCAATACATACTGACCGACTAACACTTTGTAGTAAAAACCGGTGGCCAGATCAGTAGAAAATTCCATTAGGACGATTGGCCACAGTAGATAAGTTTCTGAGGTTTTTCATGGGACAGTATAGACCCTACTGATACACTTTTTCTTCAAGGAGACTAACAATATTAACTGAGATATCCTGTATTATAGAATGTCCTAATTTCCTACAGTTGACAAACCTCGACAACTTCATGTCATCTGGTCTTACAAGTAGTGCAGCTTTGTTGTTATCTCTGTCACTCTTTTCTGTCGGAGGCTTCCTGTGCCGGAGTCAGAAGATGGACATGTCAGGCAACAAGTCGATGTCAGGCAGGACCATCACTCCAACTGAAGCTGGGAGAGAGTACCAGACCAGCTTGAAAACAAAGGCGTTCAAACGGGAGCTGCAGGACCTGATGAAGCTCGCGAGATACTTCAGTCGAGACACTCCCGGGCATCATGGAAGAAGATGTTGCTAAGTGGATTCACACCTACATTTCTCTGGGACAGGTGGAACAAGATCTTCAGCATCTTCTCTCCCCAGAAGACTTTCAGAGACACACTGAGACACATAAGAAAACCATGGAGACTGTAAACCAGATTAAGACTGCTCTTGAAGAGTACCAGAGCACACTGAAGAAAACAAGTGTCAAACCACTCTCACGCGCTGGTGTGTCAACAAAATCTGGTTCCTCTAAGTCAGTCAAGTCTGGTCTCCAGCTGATGCGCATCCAGGCGGAACACAACAAGGCCGAGATTCAAGCAAAGCTGAAGATGTTGAACAGAAAACAGGATTTGGATAGACAGCGCCAAGAGCTCGAGTGGAAACAGGAATCATTGGAGCTGGAGACTCAGATGGCCGTTCAAGAAATGCAAGAGGAAGTCGTGGAAAGGTTTGAAAGAGAACTGGATGACAGCGCTGCAGAAGACGGCCCACCAAATGAACCACAAGCACAGCAAGCAGTGTTGGAAGAACAGAGGATGCTGTCTCAGGAGGGTAATGAACAGAGACCCTCAAGTGGAGCAAGACCGATGTTAACCTCACCTGGCATGCCTCCCAGTGAGTCGCACGCAGCAGCAGCGACTGGACCTGCTGGAGGTAGCTTGAATGTGGAGGCACCAAGTTTTCAGCCACGCGGCCAGCCTCCCGATCATGACCAACAAGATCAAGACGACAACACAACAAATGTGTTGAAAGGTCTCTCCGAGCTGCTGGTGGAGCAGAGCAAGCGCGCACGTCTACCAGCTATCGAGCCAGATGTGTTTTCTGGAGAAGAGGAGAGGTACCATCTGTGGATGAACAGCTTTGAAACATACATCGAGAACAGGACAGCCTGCCCGCAGGAGCGTCTACACTTTCTGTCCAGATACACAAGAGGAGAAGCCAGATCGATGATTGAAAGCCTGCTGCACCTGAATACTACAGATGCATACGACAATGCCAAGAAGAAACTCCATGATAGGTACGGTAACACCTTCATAACTGCCAATGCCTTCCGCAAGCGCATCCATGAGTGGCCTGCAGTTCGACCCGGCGACGGGAAAGCATTGAGACAACTAGCTGACTACCTCGAGAGCTGTAAGACAGCATCAAGACATGTGAGTGGACTGGCCTCACTGGACTCAGTGGATGAGAACAACGTGATTCTCAAAAAACTGCCACGATACATCGTCGACAGGTGGAGACGCGTGGTTGACGTCAGGTTGTACGAGCCACAAGAAGGTTGTTCTCCCGGCTATCCGTCGTTTGCAGAGTTCGCGGACTTCCTCAGCAAGGAAGCAAGAGTGGCGTGCGGCCCGGTATTGGACAGGTCCGACGAAGCTGGTGGAACAAGACGAACGACCAATGCTGGCCAACGCAGGAAGGAGAACGCGCGCACGTTCTTCTCGTCCGTTTCGTCCGATGGGAGGACATCAGCACCACGTCAAGAGTCAGATAATGCACGACAGACAGACAGAACTGCCAGACTCTGCAGGATCTGTTCGTCACTGCATCCTGTAGAATCCTGCCAAACATTCAAGGACATGTCAGTGTCCGAGCGACATGACGCTGTAACACGACTTGGGCTGTGCAGAGGGTGTTTGTGCAGAGGGCACATCTGGAGAGACTGCCGAAGTCGGCGAAGCTGTGACAGATGTGGACGCTCTCATCCGACGTTGCTTCATGACGACGCAAGGGCAGGAACGCGAGGCGCGTCGACAGGACAGAGGATGGCAGCAGCAGTAGGCGACAACAGAAGACAATACAAGTCACACACGAACAGATGTACTCAGACCCAAGCTACGTCCCTGAAGGTTGCGGTTGAAGGTGAAGGAGCTGAACGCAATGCCTCGTTCGTGCCACCATGCTCTCACACCATGATCGTGCCGGTCATTCTGCGCAACGAGCTGGAACCGTCACAACAGCTGACAGTCTATGCTGTGCTAGATCCTCAATCGGATGCCTGTTTCATTCAAGAATCAACGCTCAGACAGGTCTCTGGACAAGGAGAAGACGTGACTCTTCAGCTCAGCACCATAGCGGGCAAGACCAGAGTTGTGACCAAGAGAGTGACAAACCTGTCAGTTCAGGGACTGAATGCACCGGACCGTATCATGCTACCTGCGACGCATTCTCGTGATGAGATACCGGCAGAAAGGTGGCTGATACCGAAGCGAGAAACAGCTCGAAACTGGAGGCATCTGGCTCATTTGGAGGAAGAACTGCCCCCATACTTCCCTGAAGCTGAAATTGGCCTGCTCATAGGTGTGAACTGCGCACGCGCATTGAAGCCGAAAGAGGTGGTTTCAGTTGACAGTGACGATCCCTGGGCAATGAGAACGGAGCTGGGGTGGACCATCGTGGGTATTACGCACGGGCCCAACATCACTTCGACGTGTCACTGTGCGCGCGTAGGGCCAGATGAAGTGTCGGTATGCCACTTTGCGTTCAAGACGCGTGTGCAGGAAGTGAGCCCGATGCAAGTGGCACGCATGCTGGAAGCGGACTTTCTGGATGAAGGCGCTCACAAGAAGGTCTCTCAGGACGACCGGAAGTTCCAGAAGGTGATGAAGGAACAGTTCCACCAGCGGGAGGATGGTCATGTTGAGGGACCACTGCCTCTGAAGGATCCAGAAGTGACATTTCCAGACAACAGGTACCTGGCCATAAAACGTCTACACAGTCTGAAGAGAAGGTTTGCCCGAGATCCTGGTCTGAAGGACGCCTACGAGAACTCCATGAACGAGTCGCTCGCAGCAGGATACACTGAATGTGTCCCAGACGACGACGACGTCAAAGAGGGAAAGACCTGGTACGTTCCCCATCACGCTGTCGTTCATCCGAGAAAGGACAAGATACGTGTAGTTTATGACTGCAGCGCGGAATATCAAGGTGCTTCATTGAACAACGAGCTGCTCCAGGGCCCGGACTACGTGAACAGTCTGGCAGGAATCCTGGTGAGATTTCGGAAAGAAAGAGTGGCTCTGAGCTGCGACATCAAGGCGATGTTTAACCAGGTTGGTGTCAGCAAGGAGCACAGGAATCTGTTGAGATTTCTGTGGTGGGAACAGGGCGACACGAGTCGAGAGCCGGCTGAGTTCAGGGTCACCACTCATCTGTTTGGTGCGGTGTCATCGCCTGCGTGCGCGATGTACGCGCTGAACATGATAGTAGAAAAGTATGAACCGACACACGGAAGAGAAGCGTCCGAGTTTGTACGTAGAAACTTCTACGTTGATGACGGCGTCACAAGCGTGGAAAGCTCGGATGCTGCTATACGGCTGGCCCGTGACACTGTCCAGCTGTGTGCAGAAGGCGGTTTCACGCTTCACAAGTTTGTGTCGAACGAACCGTCGGTGCTAAAAGCACTGTCGCCTGGTGCCACTGGGTGCGACCCATCGGTGGAAGTCGGTCGCCAGCACTCAGGTCAGTTCGAGCAGGCCCTGGGTATCAAGTGGGATACGGTGGAAGACACGCTGAGCTTTCACGCTGTGATTCCGGACAAGCCGATGACGAGAAGAGGGATTTTATCATCAGTTTCTTCGCTGTATGATCCACTGGGTCTCGTCTCCCCAGTGATCTTGGAGGGAAAGAGAATCATCAAGCAGTTGTGCTGCGACGGATACAGCTGGGATGAAGCTGTCCCAGAAGAGACGGTGGCCCGTTGGTTGGATTGGAAGAGAGACGTGCTCCTTCTCTCAGAGACACCGATACCAAGATGCTACAAACCTGGCGGCGGCAAGATGAAGCTGTACGAACTGCATCATTTTTCTGACGCCAGTACCGTCGGATACGGGCAGTGCTCCTATCTCCGTATGAAAGACGAACACGACCTGATTTCGACGTGTCTTGTGATGAGCAAGTCAAAGGTGACTCCCAAGCGATCGACTACAATTCCTCGACTGGAGCTGATGGCGGCCGCTCTCTCCGTGAGAGTTGGATGCTTTCTGCAAGAGGAGCTCGACATCACAGGCATCGAGCACTACTACTGGACGGACAGTCAGGTCGTTCTAGGATATATACACAACGAAACCCGGCGATTTCACGTGTTTGTCGCGAACCGCGTGCAGCAGATCCGACAACACACCACTCCCGATCAGTGGAGATATGTACAGTCAGATGAAAACCCAGCAGATCTGGCCTCCCGTGGACTGCAGGCAGCGGCCATCAAGGACTGTGATCTCTGGTGGCGTGGACCGAAGTTTCTTCAAGCAGGAGAACTTCCGAATGAAGCAGCTCAGATTGAACTCCAAGATGACGACCCGGAGGTCAAGAAGAAAACAGTTCTGACTACGCGCTCCAAACAGGTCGAAGGTTTTCCTAACATGTCTGACCGGCTAGTCGTGTTCTCTAGCTGGTTCAGGGCAAGACGAGCGATCGCGATCTGTATCAGATACGGGAGACGTCTGCTGGAGCGAGTGAGACAAAAACGTCAAAGCAGTGACGCTGAACTTGTTCCATCGTTGACAGAATCACCAGTTGGAGCAGAAGAGATGAAGAGAGCTGAGCTCGTCATACTGAAGAG